TTCCTTCAAATGTTGATATGCATCTACACATGGTTGTTAGATCACTCATCTCATCTCCGTTTGGAGTAACCTCACCCTACTCATGATCTAAAATATAATTTTTGAATAACAGTTTCAAAATCAAATTTGGCATTATTACCACAGAAGAATACTTTTAAGAATTCTATGGCTTCTTTGGCCTCAACCTTACATTGGATGACTTTTATTCAATCTGGGTCTCCATTGCTTAGCTATTGGAAATAATGCTCAGCATCATCACTTTCTAGAGAACTCTCCAGTTTTCATTTAAGCAGGATAAAGAATGTACCTTGATGAAGAAGGCAACACAGAGTAAGTCACTAGTAGAGACTGTTAAGACTAATCTAAACACGTACCCTGGGCAAGCTACTTAACTTCATTATTTTAAGCCTCTCTTATATGAAGCATTATTCTTAACATCCTCCTCCTATTAGGTACATTATGTAAATTAAAATATGCAAGTTGGGTAATTATATAAAATATATTAAACATTTGATGAAGCAAAACTATTTCAATAAAATGTGATTTTGAAATGATTTTATTGAGCTAGAATAAATGAAACAATTAAAAATAGAATATTAGATGCTTGCATGATGTTTAGATTAGCCCTCAGACCACTATTTGTACATTCTATTTATTTTGTGTATATATGCAGCAGGGGTTAGAGGGTATTACATTGTGCTTGTGGGGGTCAGAGGAAAACGAGTGGGAGCTTGTTCTCTGTCTACCTCTGTCTTTTCCTGGGGATCAAACTCAGGACTTCAGGCTTAGTGGCAGCTTCCTTTACTGTCTACGCATAGGGGATAGGTCTACAAAGAGGATCTGGACCCAGGCTGCATTTTATATAGAAACCTGAGAATCCTTTGAAAGATGTCTGTAGCACAGAAAGTAGATTTAAGTTTCAGGACATCACATTGATTGCCCTAATTTATGCTTTCAGATATATCACATGCATGTTACAGATGCTTAGATGGCTTATTTACTAACACACGGCATGATAACATGGGACATTGGGTGGGCGTGGGAACATTCTTGGGGAATCCATTTCTTCCATCAGTTATGATAATATATTTTCCCATTACCTATCACTCTTTTCATCCACTTGTATTTTTGGTACTTTGGTGTCCTTGGGGCTTCTGCCATCTTCATACCCTTGTTTCCATCTGGGTGTTTTGTGCAAGCTTGATGAACTTGCTATTCTTACAGGCTAAATAGAAAAATTAATAGTTGAATTTATTGTAACATCCAGATGTCTCATTTGTACAATAGTACAATTTTCTAACTTTAGGGAATGATACTGTTTAGGATGCTTATATCTTACATCATTTGTTAAATACTCCCTATGGGATGCAGGATGATTTTTTTTTTACCATAGTACTGTATTGAAAAGATGCTTACAATGGGAGACAGATAATGTTAGCTTACAGAGTCCTCTGACTGGTAAGTCATGAATTGTTTCTGTTTTCGGCTCAGAGACTCCTTGTACAGAATAAAATGAATTATATTTTAAATTTTAATGTTATAAAGAAAATATATTTAATGAATACAAAATTAAGGTTGGGATGAAAACCAACCCTAAAATTCAGTAACTGCTTTTCAGAAACACCATATATCTGAAGAGCCATCTATGAATGTATGGGAAGAGGAGGATGCATTCTATGTGCTAAAATTTTATCATAATTTCTTGACACAGTTGAGAATAGCTAAGTTCCCTGATGCTTTTGTTGTTAAGTCAGCAGATATGAGAAGTCCTTACTAAGAGTTGTGGGTACAAGAACCTGAGAAGAACTTGAGCTTGATAAATAATCAGGAGAAGGTTAACAAAGAATAGGGACGTTGCTAAGTTTTCTGAGGGATGGCAGTCCCTCCATCTTTACCTGATAAATGTGTATAGAATACTGTTTATCCCAGTATAGAATTATTACATACTGCATGGTTCCTAAATAGTACCATAAAATGAATATATATATAAATATTATATATATATATAACATAAATATATTTTATTTAATTTGTAAAGCTGTCCAACCATTTTTAAGACCATATGCAAAGCAAATAGGAGGATAAAGAGATTAAATATAATACATGCAATGAATATAACATTAAGGTGAAATAATTATTTATATGAGTATATACCAAAGGTAAAAGAAAATACTCCATGTAGGTAGTATGGGCAACCTGGAAATTGCTTAAAATTCTACTCTCTTCTCAGTATTTCCCCTTTCTAACTTTATTTGGCTGTTCCCATTATATACTCTCACTCCTCTACATGCTCCTGTTATTTAGATACTAATATTCGGGAAAAGAAATAAAATAGTATTAATTATATGATCATTGTGGAAGCTACGTGTACAAAGAGTAGGTAATGGTTATGAATGATATGATGACTTGTGGTTCTCAGGCAGTCTGCTTTTCAGACACCTCTCTACCATGTAGAGAGGTCAAGAAAGGTAGATTATCACTCTTTCCCTTGGATTACAAAGGGAAGATTAAACCAAGCCAAGCAACAAATAATTTTCTTGTAGTTAGGAATGATCTCTTTCCTATCCACAGAGAAAAGCAAATTCTGTATAAAATGTAACATGACATATGAATTCTGTGAAAGTTAGAAGTCTAATGAAGATGAATTGGGAAAGGATAGATCCTTCAGAGAGAGTCCTAAAAGAACATGGTGCTTCTCACTGGGGAATCCGCAACATAGAATTTATCTGTGAAATGAACCACCAGATACTTTATTCTATCTTTGCCTATTCTCTAACATTTTTAGGTTACTCTTTGAGCTCTTCTCCATCACCTCAAACACCAATACTTTGTGACTTATTGTGTCTATCACCTGTAGCCTTTCTGAATCTGACTGCTTTGATTTGTAGAAATTATTAAGAGATATGCTGTGCCACCAGTGGTGTTTTGTCCCCAGACTAATGTAACAGATTTTTATGTCTAATTCATTTGAGAGACTGATGAAAGGCTTTACAATTCTGGAGTGAAAATAATGGCCACAGGATTACATAGGTAGATACCTGCAGCAGACTGGATCACTATGAAAAGAAGGTGAAAGAATCAAGGCTGGCATTGCATCCTCTAAAGATGATGAACTTATCTCAAAAGAAAAAAAAAAAACACTAAATGCTGGAGGCTATCCTTTTGTGGGTGTCAGATCCCATTATCTTTCAAATCATCAGAATAATTTGAATGATGCTCAAAACACAAACTCTTATCCATTATCTCATGTTACTGTTTCAGCAAGTTATTTTGGGACTTAGTCTTCGTTTTGAAATTAACATCCTCTTGTCTTCTATAACATTTCTATAACATTTCTTGTCTTCTATACATAGAAGGGAGAATCTTAAAGGACATTAATGATCTGAACATGATTTAAAATCAGATTATCATGAAATATTCAGATATATTATATTAAATATTAAGAGGTATATCAGAATTTTCAACTTTAAAATGTTAAGTACCTACATAAGCAAGATGTTGAGTTTGGTAAAGAGTGCTGTCCTGACAGTACAGATTTTCAATGTGCATACTCCAGGAAGAAGCTAAATGAAACATGCAGGTGACAATAAAGCACCAACTGCAATAGCATAACAAGAGATTTGAAGTAAAGCCATATACAGCATGGAAAGTGATGTTTTCTCTCCCAAGGAGTCATTGGAAATGTTTTGAGATTTCTTTACAGTCGGGTGTCTAAGTTTTCAGATGATTGCAATATCTAGATATATAAGCAATTACAGGAAAGATGACAGCTATTTAATGTTAACAAAAATACTGATTAAATATTTGATCCAGGTATATTATAGTAACAAGTTAGATATATACTTTGATTCTTAATTCATATAACAATTCTATATTCATGTGTGTAGGGTAAATAAACATGTTCTATTAATTAATAGACTAATAGAACTGATAACAAACTATCAAAAAACACAGTCTCAAGAAAATGTCTATAATTTTGGACAATAGGGAATAAATAAAGCTTTGGTGTTTTTATGACCTTAAAGCATATCCAACTTTATGTACTAATATTTCATAGTGGATAGTCTTTAAGATAAATAAAAGAGGTACTTTATAGTACACAGTTCCCTTATGGTTTAAGTTTTTTTTGCATAAGATCTCAGAGTGTACAGTGAATAACTTTACTTCATATTTTCTCAAGAGCATTTTTTATTTGGAGAACAAAAATGCATTTTAAGTATATGAAGGAGAAGAAAATTTACAAACACAGAGGAAAATATATAAAATAGAATTTTGCTTCTATTTTATGTATTACATCCCATACTTAGACTTATTCACAACTTTCAAACCAAAGTTCTGTAGAAATGGATGGGATCAGAGAAAACACATGGAGCTACATGAGTCCCCTAAATTATACTTCAATTTATATATTTACTTTCATACATGTGTCTTCTAACATTGTTTTCATAAGATGTTTTAAATTTTGATAAAAGGTCAGTTAATGAAAGGAGAATCCATAATAACACAATTTTCACCACAAAATGCTTACTGACAGCTGTGACATTTAAAAATTGAATAGTCATTATCTTTTTCTAGGACAGAACCAAACTGAATAAAAAGTCGTCTTTATTATGTACTTTTCTCCTCTAAAACCAAACCTCCCACCCTCTTTTGGAAGTTAACATTAAAATATATCAACACTTTTTTAAACTTTTTTATGTTGAATTGACAAAGAATAATCAGAACTATTCCAAAACTAATGTAGGTTTTTGTTTATAGAATGCCATAAATCTCAAATATAACCATATGTGAGGATCACAATAGTAATGAAATTGTCACTAATACTGAGGAAAAGTATTGAAGTCACATACTAAGAAATGGGAGGCTGAGTAATCCTGATGTGTAATATTTAATTTTGCTTAAAATGATCCACAGCATTTTACACCACTCTATAAATAAATTCCTTTATTTTTTGCATGTACAGTATTTTTGAATCATCACTTCTCTTCATTCATGAAACCATGCAGCTGAATAATAACGTGACTGAATTTATTCTATTTGGGTTGACGCAGGATCCATTTAGAAAGAAAGTAGTATTTGTTGTATTTTTGCTGTTATATTTGGGGACACTTTTGGGCAACTTGTTGATCATTATTACTGTCAAGACTAGCCAAGCACTTGGGAGTCCGATGTATTTTTTCCTCTTCCATTTGTCGTTGTCTGACACCTGCTTGTCTACTTCCATAGCCCCTAGAATGATTGTGGATACCTTTCTGAAAGAGGCCACTATATCATTCAGTGAATGCATAATCCAAATCTTCACATCTCATATTTTTGGTTGCCAAGAAATCTTCATCCTCATCCTCATGGCTGTTGATCGCTATGTGGCCATCTGTAAGCCCCTACACTACATGACCGTCATGAGCCGTCGGGTCTGTGGAGTGCTGGTGGGTGTGGCTTGGGTAGGATCCTGTGTGCATTCTTTAACTCAGATTTGTCTAGCTTTGAGTTTGCCTTTCTGTGGTCCCAATGCACTTGATCACTATTTCTGTGACTTACAGCCTTTGTTGAAACTTGCCTGTTCAGATACTTATGTGATCAACCTGCTTCTGGTGTCTAATAGTGGGGCCATTTGTACAGTGAGTTTCATCATGCTTATGGCCTCCTATGTCATCATCCTGCGTTCACTAAGAAACCACAGTGCAGAAGGGAGGCGGAAAGCCCTCTCTACCTGTATCTCCCACATCATGGTGGTCATCTTGTTCTTTGGTCCGTGCATATTTATATACACACGCCCTGCCACGACTTTCTCCATGGATAAGATGATAGCTGTGTTTTATACAGTTGGGACACCTTTGCTCAATCCTCTGATCTACACACTGAGAAATGCAGAAGTGAAAAATGCCATGAGGAAGTTGTGGAAGAAGAAACTAGTCTCCGATGCTGTAAGATGAATGGATAACCTTTTCTGACATTGAATTAACCCATAACTTTGTAAAGATATTATTTTTCTATCATTGCGTTAATATGATACTATCTTAGGGCATGAAGTGTATTAGGGTTTTTGTTGTTGTTGTTGTTGTTTTTTCTTGTTTGTTTGTTTCATCCCGGGAACAACTGTAAAGATATATAAAATTGTTCAGTTTTATGTAGAAAGAAGGACAGAGACATGAAGCGTCAACAGGAATGAAAGCTTCCTAAGTTTGATTTTGTTCAGTGCGGGGTTTCTGCTCTCTAGCCTACGGAGTGCCTCTTGTGCTTTTGTTCTGACTTCCCTGTCACATTTCACACTTACTTTTGGAGCTCTCTGCTGGCAATTTTCTATTTACATTACTACAACATGTATAGCTTAACAGATTTTCTTCTTCCAAACAGTTTCCATTATGTAAACATTCTGGTCTCACTGCCAATTTAGATTTTTTTTCTGACTTCACAGATAATACTAGATTCAAATAATTGTAGACGCTTCCTTTTGTAAGGGAGAGTATATATGCTTTAAGATACTCTCTTAGAATTTTGCTTCGTACTCTTAAAACTAACTATGTGTCAACCTAGATCCTCCTATAACAGTGATGGGATAGAGAAATAAAATTCACACTTTTTGAGAGTCTGTGATGTTAGGAAGGTTTTACTGTCAATAATGACTTGTAGTCATTCAGTGTTTCTTCCTTCACGTATTTTTTGTCCCTGATATTATTCCTTCAAACTTGCGATGATTATTATAATAGTTGCTTTACAAAAAAGATATGATTATAACATATATAGTCCAAGTAAATATAGAGATGTATATATGCACTAGAAATCAACAGTATAATCACTTGATGGTAGGTTTTGAATATATTAACAGATTAAACAACAAAATTGTGAAATACCAAAGTATTATTGTTAGGGTTTGAAAGAGAAAAAAAAAAAATTTTATCACAGAGGCAAATTAGCTTAGTGACTTTTCAATCCTCTGCAGACTAAAGTACCTTGAGAAAGAAGCAACAGATATTTGGCTATTTGATGGTATATATTACTTTTTATCATTATTCAATAACTCTTGCCTCTAAAACATAAACTCTAAGAAACTTTGTGATATCAATATGTTTTATTATTTGCATTTTATCCAGGTACAAAATATTTTTTTTATTTGTATCATCTATTTTGTATCATCTATTTCCATTGCTAAATTAGCATATATCCATTAGGAATTTTACATCAAATTTTTATACTGGTAACTTTTTTGCTCAAACATTTTCAGCCCCTAGAATTTCTTTAACTTGAAATATTGATCATAATTTCTTTGTGCTGGTATAGAAATTTATAAGTACTTCAATTAACTTCAATTATAGGTAAACTTGCCTTGAATTTCTGTGAATTTCAATATGAAATCCAGGTCAAGCATTTTATTATTGTGTAATATCTACAGATTTGTTCTGGTATTCTAAAGTTTGTACATAAATAAATTATACTTGACAGGGCTATTATACTTGATATTCACTTTATCTAGAAACAAGAAAATTGTGAAAACAATATATTATATATTGAATTACAAACCATCAAATATGATTTCAGGACATGGATGGAGCACATAGTCTCTATTTACATTTAGGATTTTCTAATAAAGATTCAAAGACTGTTCATGCAATCTCAATCAGTATTTTAGTTGAAGTAATTTTTCTGAAATGGAAAGAATGGAAAAATGAGAGCAAAAATCAATAAATAAAGGAAAGGGTATAGGGAAGGAAGAGAACAGTGACCTGATAAAGAGTCTGCATACACTGTGTTGTCACAAGCAGGGTTTTCTCCTTATACAACTGGCCTGCCCACCAGTACAAGAGTGGCACAAATATTACAAGAGTAACAAACTGCTTTCTGATTAGATTTAAGATCTGCTTCTTAGGATGGATCCTGTTCCTAACATTGACATCAGGCCTAGGAATCTGTCAGCCAACAGACCTTGGAAGAACCCCTAATACTATTATTACGTTAAGTAGATACAGTACTAAACCGGTTTCTAATGACTTACTGTTGTACCCATAGATCAATGCATCTCTCAGCTCTCAGCAGAGAAGGACAGTAGATGGTGTTTAACACGGAGAGCCATGACTGGCCAACATGCAGAGATTAAGAGCCTCAGAGTGCTTATCTCTGATAGGACACTTACATCAAACTTCTGCTCCCAATGTTCAGAGATCATTGTGGAAAAAGAGTGGAAAGATTGTAAGAGCCATAAGAGGTGGATGACCAAAAAGAGGCAGAGTTTTTCAGTTAACTGGTCAGCTACTCATATAAACTCACAGCAATGGTGACAGCATGTACAGTAAACTCAAGCCAGACAAAATCCTAGCACAGATATGTGGAAGTGTGTAAGAAACCCCAGCATTACCTGATGAACTATTTCCAGTGGATGATTGCTGGGAAGGGCAGATTTAGTGTCCTATTTTAAAAAGTGAAGGAAGGAAAGAATTTTACAACTAGTGCATGATCCTGAAGTGATTTATTGTCTGTTGTTGCTGTTATTTTCCTAACTCTATTCAAATTTTGGAAAAATAAAATTAGTATTATGACTATTCATATTATAAAAGTGTCAATTGTTTAGTGTTTGATATAAGAGTACAAGGTGGAAGGGCTGGAGAAGAGCACTGGCTGCCCTTGCAGAGGATCCAAGTTTGGTTCCCAGCACCCACATAGTGACTAACAACCACATAGTGGCTAACAACTCTAGATCCAGAGGATCAGACACCCTTTTTGGACCTCAGCAGGCATTGCATGATATGGGTGCACTTACACATATGCAGACAATACATTCATATATATATAAGCTAATTTAGTAATTTTATCACATTTGCCATATATATGTATAATTACTATGTGGAGGGAATTGGGGCCTCGGGTAGAAGCCATTTTCACCAGCTTGATAGTAGCATTTAGCTCTAAGGCTTCTAGCCAAAAATTAGAAGATATCACTGGAGAACTGGAAAACCACAGAACTGTTAGCATGGAAACGATGCCATCATGAAACACTGGGAAGAGTTAAAGTGCTGCATCAACTCTGGAGATCAAGAGACCATGTTGGAAAGATGTATCAACCAGAATGTGCCAGGCACCTCTGGGGATGCCCTGTGTCCTGCCTGCTGCATGAGGCGGCAGCAAAAGCTTCATTTCCAAGGAATCTGTGCATAGGACTGATCTTCATAATGCACCATGATCATCACCTCATGCAACTAATGGTTGTGGGAAAGGACACAATAGAGGAAAAGCCAGACTCATCTGTATGATCATCAAATAAGGCATGTTGTATGAAATAGAAAGAGGTTAATTCATTGATTGGCAGTAACTGACTGTAACCTCTTAAAGTGAAATTATTCTCACACAAAGTATGACTTTAGATGTTATCATTTCCATTTAAATCTCATAGTTTTAGAAGGCATTTTTTTGAGTTGTACAAAAATGAGTGAACAGTAAGCATAATACTTCTCATTAAGTTTTTATGAACAGGATATTTTATTCTGCTTAGCTAGACTTTTTACCCCAGGGTAAATTCTAGGGAAGAGAGAACCCTAAAGTTTCAAATAGTTTTCTGTGGGTTTTTTGTTGTGTCTGTTATAACTCAGCACATCATCTTTCATTAATATATCTGTAAGAGTAGAAATTTTGAAAATAAAAGTATTGCTCATTAGGAAAGTATAATCACATAACAAATCTAAATTTCTTAGTCACATTTTATATTATTTCATGAGAGAGTTATGCCTCAAGAATATACTTTTAGAGGACATTATTCTTTTGTAAAGCTCAATAATTTTATTCCAGGTCTGGAGAGAAAGTTCAGTGACTAAAAGCATTGGCTGTTCTAGAGGACCTGAGTTGTGGTCCCAGTTTCCATTTCAGAGGGCTCCTAGAGTCCTTTAATGCCAGCTCCAGTGGAACTGATGTCCATCCTGGCCTCTGTGGGCACCTGTATATGCATGGTGTGCACTCATTCAGAGACACGCAGAGACACATAAAAAATAATAAAACCTGGGTCCTCAATTCTATTCCATTCATAAATGTATCTGTTTTCATGTATGTTCCATGCTGTTTTTATAATTATAGCTCTGTAGTATAATTTGAGATGACTTCAAGCTCTGTGACCAGTCAGAATTATTTTGGCTAAGGAGGGTTTTTGTCTGTATTTTTCCATATGAAATATAAGACTATTTTTTCATTTCTATGAAGAATTGTGCTTGAATTTTAATGAGGATTGTGTTGACTCTGTTGGTTGCTTTTGGTAGGATGTCTACTTTACATTATTAATTGTAATGTTCCATGAGCATGGGATGTCTTTCCAACTTTTGGTGTCTTCTTAGATTTCTTTCATGAATATCTTAAAATTTTATTGTACAGGTCTTTAACTTCCTTGGTTAAATTATACCAAGATAGTTAAAAAATTTTAAGGCTATTTTTAATTCCCTAGTTTATCAGTATGTTTTTGTTGGTATATCAGATGGCTACAGAATTTTGTGTTATTTTTATCCTGCTACTTTGCTGGAATGTGTTTTTCAGTTCTAGGGTTTTCCTACAGGAATCCGTAGGGTTTTTTTGGTTGATTCTTTTATGTATAGAATTCTGTCATCCTATCACCTATACATAGGGATACTTGGCTTTCAAGTTTCTAGTGTCTTTAACTCTTTAACTTATTGCTCTAGTTAAGACTTCAAGTACTATATTGAACAGGAATGGAGAGAGTGGACATTTTTGCCTTTTCCTGACTTTAATGGTAATGCTTTGAGTTTTTCTACATTTTATATGATGTTAGTTGTGAGACTGCTGTATATTTCATTTATTACTATGAGATATGTCCCCTGTATCTATAGATTCTCCAAGACTTTTATCATGAAGTGGTGTTGGATTTTTGTCAAAGACATTTTTCTGCAACTAATGAGAGGATTATATGGTTTCTTTCCTTGAGTCTACATATGTGGTGAATTGC